CACTCCCCTGGATAGATTTTCCGAATGAACCGACAGAATCACTAATCATTCCCCTTGCCCCAGTAGAATTGACCCAGTGACCACTCTCCATCCACCTCAAACCCTCAGAGAAAATAGAGACAGTGGAGGGTACGAAATACGAGAGGCCCCAATAAATTGGAAAGTCGAGGCTTTCCCCCGAACACAAGACGACCCTCCAAAAATCCCTGAGAGCTACCCCTGAAGCTGAATTTATTGTCTGTAATATTCAAAAACCCTATCGTAAAATAATTTCACCTCGCAGTTTTGCCAGTGACAATTGTCCAGTTGGTAATTTAGTTTGCTGACAATTCGGTCAGATGACTATACCCAGTCTACCACAGGACATCACCTTGAAAACCGTCACTGGGTCACGAAATCACTTTGACGTCAAGGACAATTGAGTCAGTGCTATAAAGTGCGGAGTAACCGAGAGTAATTACGGTAACACCCAAAAATTTGATACTAGGGTAAGTACCGGTGTTACCACAGGCAATAAAAACATTGAGGTAATTGCGGATATCGGTGGAACGTAAATAATCCATTACGATTTTTATTTATGCTATAATTCCAGGCATTAAAGAATAAACTGCCCATTTTTTTTCTTTTCTTATTTACATAATCATTAACTAATAATTAATGCATTTTAGAATTTCCAACACTAAGAATTTTCACATGAAATTCATTTAATTTCCCACCAAAAAATATACAACATAATAATATCGATTGTTTAATTTTTTTGATTGTTCGATTGTTTAATTTCTCAATTATTTAATGTTTAATTTAATTGAATAGTATAGAAAAATCGTCGCATGTGGGGAGTATTTTTATTTGTTTATTTTGATGTCGCCCATATCACATATTATTTTTGCGATTTTAGTGTTGGCGGAAAAAATGATTATGATAAACGTAAATGTATTTATTTCAGGTACCAAGTGAAAAGATGAAAGGCACCAGCGGGTGATTCCCTGTGACGGATTTGTTATTAACCCCGGGGTCATACACCACACGAGATCATTTCGAATGGGGGTAGCCAACTTGGCGATTATAAAACATCCCACACGGTATTTTTTCCTCATGGCTGTAGATTTTTCGCACAATATACTAGACTCAATGGCACAGCGTGCATGCCGTGTTTCAAACTATAGTTTGCCTTGTTTGTACATTTTCTCCCAGTTGTGTGGCAACTGTATATCTCGAGACACTCGAACGAATAAATATTGCAGCTGGGGTTTTCCCACTATTTATTACTGAACCGATCGATACTGCATCTCGAAAATAGTCGATTTC